ACGGGGTCGCGACCTAGCGGCCGGGTACTGCAACTAAAGATGTGTATTTTAAAAACGTGTCGGGCTGGAATCGAACCAGCGACCCATTCCATAGGAGATTACCACTCTTCCAACTGAGCTACCAAGGACGCACGAGTCAGTGCTTTGAATAAGCCATGGTACTCTGCACGGCTTGATGACATGGTCTGGTGCGTATTGCGACGATTTACGGCGAAGCGGTTGGGAGCAAATTTGGTTTTAAATGAAGGTTATACGCCATGTTTCTTGACCAAATTTTCAGAACAAGAGGGCAAAAGCAAGACAGTACGCTGGAATTGGTTGTCCAGCGGCGACATGCACGTTTTATGATTGGCGATCGCCGGTCGTGTGAGCTGACGTCACGCAGACAGTCAGCGCCATCTCTGGAGCGTCGGGCGACATAGTCGAGGGGCCGAGTTTGGCTATTTGGGGGGTGCGAATGCGATTAAAAATGTGCCGCGCACATAGCCACGATCGAGAGCTGTCGATTGGTGGTTGAATCGTGTCTGTAGGTGGTGTGGTTGGAGCGGTTATTGCAAAAAACTGAAACGCTTCACGTATTATTTATTGTCGATTTGTAAAGGGCACTAGCGTAATTTCCTGAGGTCTAATCGAAACGGGTATTTAGTCAACCATTCATCATTTTGGGAACAAATTCAGGCTTCGAAGCAGCATGCAGCACTGGTGCAAACAGCATTACATAGTGCATCGATCAAGGCCATAATATAGGATCGATGCTCAAGGCTGGTTGCTAGCTCATAAGAAAAACTTCTGGTAAAAACGTCCAACCGTTATTGTAGGTCTGTTCACCGATTCCGTTGGAGATTTACAACGGTTGGTCAAAGCATACAAGTAGGTATCCATCAACTGACTATAACTGGCTGCATGAACTTTAGACTGCTACCTATTGTTCGAGAAAATGCACTAAATTTTCGCCTGTACATATATGCCATGTCGCTGACGTGCGCACGGTAACGCGCTTATGTAGTGATATGCTACCAGCTCAAATGCATGCCTTATCATCTCGCATCCATGCAAAACATGTCGTGGATGACATGCACTCACATGATAGTTCATATCCCAACATAATCTTGAATACCAAAGAAACGACGCTCCGAAAATAAAAACAGCTTGCATTACTGCCAATGCTATATGTTGGGCCTTTTTCTCTTTTTTTTTTTAGCTAGTTTTTGCATTCTCTTCGATTTTCCCGTCCGAGAGGATACTCAGCTTTGTGTAACGGACAATGTTTTTTTTGTGTGTGTCTGTCGTATTACGCTCCCTTTTTCATTAGCTTCATGGCAAAACAATTGCTCCTGGAACCAGCTTTAGACATTCACACCTGTCGTTTCATTAAAAGTGTGAATGTCTTTCAATGTAACTTATACTTGGGAAGAAACTATACGTAGCGTCTGAATAACTGCTGAACACTCCACAGCAACTCAACATCACGAACAAGGCGCGGCCCAAGGAGAAATTTCACCGAAGAATAGGCAATAAATGCGTACTGAGTAGTCTCCCCGAGCAGACAATAAAAACGTGGCGTTACAAAACTGATCACTTCCGAGTGCCTTTTCCTCGGAGAAAGAAATGCTCCTGTAGTGCTGAAAGTCAGACGTACTGCTCTTGCATGGAGGGAAATGAATTCTTTGGAAGATTGCGAGACGATCAGACGCCTGAGGATGAAAGACACACAAAACAGAAGGCTAGGGAATAGAGATTGGTAACGAACATGCGAAAAAGGTGACCAGACAGTGGCAAAACAGAGAATAGGGGCAGGGACAGAGAGGTAAGGTTGCACTTACTGACGTGCATGCGATTGGGATTGATTGAGAGAAATAGTAACTGTGAGGAACTGTGAGAACAAACAAACAACTCATTACCCAGTTGCAGCGGATTGAGTGACGGGAATGGGTAGAACTGTGAGACGGAACAGAAAGAAAAAAAAACGTCACAAGGAAAAGAATAAGATGTTAATCATTCATGGTCCAGGCAACTTGCAGTGGCTATTAGGAGCATTGGGCAAACGTACAACCGTGAAAGGGCCATTATGCTCAAACATCCTGAGCCTTGACATAGTCCTGAGTTGACTAATTTTCTCCTTCCATGTTAAATGTGACGAACACAAACAGCTAAGCACCCAACAAAGGAGAAACGGCCAAGGGCTAACCTGAGGCAGGGTCGAGGCATGTCGACTGTCGAGTCGACTCACTTACTCACGACTCACGACTCACAATACTCACCGAGATAAACGAGGAAGGGGCCGTTCAATGTCACCGGGACATGAGTTATCTGGGTGGCGGAGGAAGGAAGAGAGAGGAAGAAAGAGGAGAATAAAACAAAGGAATGAGAGAGAAAGAGAGAGAGAGAAAAAAAAACATCGATTGGGAAAATATTGTCACAACCACAACGGCCCACCGAAGGTCGATAGCAACACTGAAGTCGCTAGCCGCCGCGCCGTCCAGAATTCTGGGAGGTAGGCTGACCCGCACGGCAGTGGTGTGAGGCGGCACAGCCTACCCGTCCAGTGAAACGACGAGAATCAAACGCCAGGCGGCAGCGGAGGAGCTGGTAGGGAGTGAGGGAGGGAGGGAGGAAGAGAGAGAGCGAGAGAGAGAGAGAGAGAGGGAGAGAGAGAGAGAGACAGAGAGAGAGAGAGAGAGGGAGGGAGAGGGAAACAGAACAGAGTCAAATAGGGGCTCCGCTGCTCTGCTACTTCACGTTGTCGACGGTTTTTCTATTAGCTCAGCGTAAGTTACCCTCGCGTAATGCTTGGAATTCGGTAAGTACACTGAAACGAACAGAAGGGAGGCTGAAACGTAGTCCTCTGCCCCACCCCCTCCTCCATTAGTGGATTTCAAATTTATATGCAAACGTGCTCGATAGATGTTGTGTTTTGAACATAACCCGTGAAGTGAATTGTGTCTTGTGCATTTCGCTTCCCTCGTGCAAACCTATCATCGCCGTGAGGCCATTATCTAGACTCCGGCGTCCAATATTTTGGCCTCGTTCCTGTATGCATGTAATAATCATTTACCCCGATAACCAGCGCCAATAAGAACCGTTCGCAGAAAGCCAATCGACCACGCCCCAATCATCACGTAACAGGAAGCAGGGTTCTCCCCTGTTCAGTTAAACCATATCATCTTCAACGTGATCCCTTATCATCGCTTGCGCGCTAAAACTACCCAATGATAACTACCATTCGTCACCCGTGCCAACACACTCATCCGTCTATCCGTTCCACCGATCAAAGACAGAGTTCAGAAATGGGCAGTGATATTGAGGATTAGCAGATGATGATGATTATTCGAGACTTCAATGCCATCACACAGCCAGGCAACTCAGTTATGAAGTCGTCACGACCAGGGTAACATCCACGCTGGACTAAAAACCATTTGACAAATGTTCTTCCTCTAGACTATAGCTTACGACATAGCTATTAGCTGCGTATAAAACTGTGAAACAAGCATCCACCTTCGTTTCATGCACATAACAACCACCTCAGACACAGACAAGACATATTCACTTTCATGACAAACTGGATCTAAAGCACTCCAAAACACACGCTACCACGCCGATTCAGTCTTTGTACCAAAACGTTGCGACTCCTCTTGATATAACTCCACCCTCCTTCTGAGCTATGGAGCTCAGCGGGCTCTCCCAGGGGCGCCGGTGCTCCGTCCGTACTATGGAGAACACCGTGTTCCCTACGGTCTCATCGTGAGCTCCGCATCTGTCGGCCACCCCTGTCGACGGAGCACACATTACGGTCAATCCAGATAGATACGAGTGACTTGCTAGTTAGGAAATGAGGAATGGTTGGGCGAAGATGGATTAAATCGTGTTTCAGCTAACAGAGAGAAATATTGGCGGATGGTTACGAATCCGTTTAGTATAATGATCATTAATACGACAAAATAAATCAGTTTCGCTCTTGCGATGCTTGAATATGTCTTTGACGACAATTTAGGCCTGAATCACAAACCCTTAAAAATGTTTCAACCCCAAGAACGTGAAGACCTCCGCCGCAAAAAAAGTCATACGCAGTGCTACAAAGTCGCCCGATATCCATAAGTGAACTTATCATCAGCTATCTTACCCCCCCCCCCCTCCACCTGTTTCAAGCTTTGCTCGTTTTTTCAGCTCACCTTGCCGACTCGCCAGTGTTCTGTTTTCCTCGAGCGGGCACCGTGCGTCCCCTTCCAGTTCCCGCGCCCGCCGTGGGCCGCTTCTGCTTCGCTCCCGGCTCCTCACTCTTCCCTTCCTCCTCACTCTTCCCTTTCTCTTCCTCTGCCGGCCGCTTTCTCCTCGCTCTCCCCACCTTCCCCTCATCCTCTGCCGTCGCCGGCTCAGACTGCTCCGCCTCCGTGGCCCGAGATCGGCCCTTCCCAGCGGCTGTTTTCTTTGTCGCCATCTTGTTTACCTTTGAAATTGCCTTGCTCTTAGCATCAGCATCGCAATGTTCGGATTTGTCGGCTGGTTTATCGTCTGTTTCGGCAGAGTTTTTCTTCCCGTCGCCTGTCTCAGTATTAGCTGATTCGTCTGTTTCGTCTGGTACTTTGGTGAGTCGTTCGTCTGCCGTCTGCACGTCTTTCGTCTGTTTCGCGCTTGCCGCGTCTTCGCCGTCTCCGTCTTTCCTCATCGCTGGCTCGTCTTCTGATGGGCCTTTGCCTTCAAGCGGATCCGGAGTATCTTCGCACTGTTCGATGTACTTCCTCATGGCTGCTAACGTGTCGTCTTCTTCATCAAGCGCTTCAGCTGTCTGACTAGAATGAGGAGACGACTTCGAGTCGCCCTTCTCGCCTTCTTCAGCCACTACCGCGCCACCGCTTGTCGCTGCTGCGTCGCCCTTCGCCGCTGAAGCGTCATCCTTCGTACTTTTCACCTGTGCAACACTGGCCTCAGAATCCTTTCCTTGCGTTGGCAGCTTCTCAGTTGCAGCTGTGCTCTCCTTTGAATTACTCTTAGCTTTCTCAACCTCCTTTGCTGAGTCTTTCGTTACTTTACCTTCCTTCGGATCTGCATCTTTCTTTCCTTTTGTGCCTGTTCCTGCTTTAGTTTGTTTCCCTGCTCCAGTCTGTTTCCCATTCCCTGTAACCTTCTGCTTGCCAGTCTGCTGTTTCGAGCCCTTCTGTCCCTCTTTCTTATCGATGGTTGACGTGGACGATGTGCCCTTCTTCGTGGCTGCTGGCGATGTTGCATCCTTCTTGCCTTCCTTACTGACGTGAATCATAGTGGCTTTGGGTTTCAGTCGCTTCGCCGCGATGTCAGGCAGGTCTTTGGTTCGTTTCTTTCCACGGCCAATGCCGTCCGGAGCTGTCTTGACGCGCTGCAAAAGATAAATGGCGTCAAACGGCGCTGAAAACGGGGTGCCGCGGGGAATGGATTGGTGTGACAGCGAGTGACCAGGAAAACACTACGCCGCTGAACTGTAATGGGGCCATCAGTAACACAGAGAGTGACCAAAAACAAAACTCTGCTGAGCCCAACAGAATGGAGCAATTCGTAACACAAAGCGACAACCAGAAAGCCCGCTACCAAACGAGTTTTTGATCACATGAATCTACACTGTAAAGAACATGATCATTGGAAGACCCTAGGATCATCCAAATACTTCGAAAAAAATGTGTATTGGTAATTCAAGCCTTCTAACTATTGTAAGCTCCAAATCTCTAACAAATATGACTGCTCCACCCCCTCCCACTGACATAAGCTCCAGTGGTGGGCTCTAACCGCCCCTCAAACCAATATGCCCTCCACCAGCTCCTCTCACCAACACGAAACCCAGCCCCCTACACAAGAACTCCCTCCCGGTCTCACCGGCGTGAGGTCGACGTCGGGTGACCAGGCGCGCGGCGCCCTCGACCGTCGTCCACTGGACATGGTCCGCACGGGCCGGTCGTCCTCCGGCTCCTTCTTAATCACCGGCCTCTCCTCCTCCTCCTCCTCTTGTTCCTCTTCCTCACCAGCAGTGTTCTTATCTCCATCCTTGTTATCAACCTTTTCACCCTTCCCTTTCTTCTTGTTGTTTGATTCTTTATCCAACTTCTCTCCCTCTTCTTCACCATCATCCTTCTTCTCATTGTCTCTCTCCTTCCTCTCCTCCTCTCCCTTCTTCTCTCCACCATCCTCTATCTTCTTTCCTCCTTTCGCCTTCTCTCCCTCGCCCTCCACTCCCTCTGCCTCCCCGTCTTCCACCCTGTTCTCCGAGCCGTCAGACTGTCTCGGTGTCTTCTCCACCGGCCCTCCGCCGTCGCCGTCTCTCTCAGGGCCGTCCGCCGCGGCGGGCTCAGTGCGCCGCGGCCGGCCTCGGCGGTGCCTGCCCCGACCGCGGCGGCCCTCTGTAGAGAGGGGAGAGAGGGAGAGAGGGGTGGGAGTTAGTGGAACTCGAGCAGTGGAGGGGGATCAGCGATAGAACACGTCAAAGCAGACCAAGTCAAATTCTATACTACGAGCCAGGTAAGCTCTGATGAAACGCGTAGCAGTGGATTTAAAGCCGTAGCGCAAAATTAAAACCAGCTTATTCATAAACCAGATAGACGAATCTAGTGATGTCAATTACGGAAAATCGGAATACCGATACCAAACCAAATACCAACCAAAACCACGGGAAAATACCGAAACCAAACCAACTTGGGAAACTGAGGGAAATACCAACTTTTTACCGATTTTTTAGCCTCTTATACATTAGTGAGGGCTTACGATACCAACAAAATACCAAACACATTACGATTGAAATACCAAATACCAAGTTGGTATCGGTTTAGTATCGGTATACTAAAAAGTTGGTATCCGATTGACGTCTCTAGACGAATCCTAACCGCAAAAGCCCATATACCTGCAGCTGTGCCCACTGCATTCTGACCTGAGAAACTAATGATGCTGATACTTCAAGGAGGGCTAAAATCGAGCTCATTCCGAAAAATGCTCAAATCTCAGCTCGCGAACATCAAGTACAAAATCAACCTCAGCTGTTGTACTCACTGTTGCCGGGTCTCGGTTTGACCGGTGACCGGGGCGAGGTCGGGGTCGGGGTCACGTCGGCAGGGGCGGCACCAGGCACGTCCTCCGGGAGGGGCTCTCCGCTCCGGATCGCCCAGATATTACACAGGTGATCTCTGGCTGACTGAAATGGGGAGGTGGTGAGAGGGAGGGAGGGTCAGGTATTACTGCAAGAGATAAAAGAGAAGAGAAGAGAGCAGAGAGCAAAAAAGGAGATGGAACTGAGAGAGGGATGGAGAAAGGAGTGGGCAGGAGGGCAGTACCAGCACAGTTACCAAATTTCGTGAACTTATGAATATTGATTTGCTTAATGGGAGCCAAGTACTCAGCTGCAACAATTATCCAGGAATTTCCCTCAGACAAAATCAGAAACAAGCCGTCTTTCACACATATCCCCAGCCCATCTGTGCACAGCCCTTCCCTTCGCAAGGCCAACTGTCCTCATACCCAACCAGCCCTCATAACTTCGCTTACACACGATGTCCAGCTACTGATCCAAATCACAGTTTTATCCCAATTACTACAGCTCCCCCGGCCACTCACCGTCTGTAGCGGCCCGTGTGTGTAGCCCTGTCCGACCAGCACCGTACAGGGCACACACACCATCTGCCGGGGCCGCGTCTCCCAGCTCCTGCCCAGACACTCTGTCAGTGCCTCCGTCAGAGGAGTCGCCCTCGAGTCACGCAGCACCGCCGAGGAGAGCGGCGTGAGTACCGCATCGCGCGGCTGTTCGCCGCACACGGCACACACCGCGCTGAACACGCCCACGCCGACAGTGACAGCTGCGTCAGAATCGCCGCCGTCGCCGCCGAGGGCGCCGAGATCGCCGCGCGCGGCGTCAGTGGCCGGGTCGGTGCCGCGCGGAGCCTCGTCGGCTGCTGACGGCTCCAGGGGCGCCGCGGCGGGGGACGGAGGGGCGGGGTGGGAGGTGGGCGCCGGGGTACCCTGGAAAAGGAGAGAGTGCTAGATTAGTGGGTGATATAATATGATGATTACGCTACCAAATGGCGGGGTGCAAGCATATTAAGCAGGCTGGTACACTTTGCTTATTCAAACAATAGCGGGTCCGGGATTTAGATAAGGCTTCCGGTAAATTAAGCAGGATAAACTCAACACACAACATTATTGGAATGTCAATCAAGGATTACATGCAGCTAAAAATAGCATACAAAAAAAATCCCTAATAATCTGCAATTAGATACATCAAATCCAGCGACAAAGGCGTGGATGTCCACTGATCGCCGATATGTAAAAATGAATGACACATGTTCCAGAGATAATAATGGTGATATGGTTTAGCGTAGGATGCTTGGACTATGTAAGTCGGTCAAAACCTATTTGAGAGCACTTCCAGCTGCCACAAACTCAAAACGATCATTTTCTCTGCCAGAACGAAAACAATCATTTCCAGCCCAATCCTCCTGTCCCCTCCTTAATCACTCTTTCCCTCCAAGACTTACCTCCTTCTCCGCTCCTTCAGAGCTCTCAGTCTTCTTGTCCTCACTACCCATCAGCTGCTCCAAGGCCTCCTCCACCGATTTCTGAGAGTTCGAGCCCGGTACTCGCCCCTCCCCCTCCACTGTTACCGAGGGGGTTTTCGTCTCCATTTCTGTTACCTTCTCTCCGCCGGGTTGTGGGTTTGTCGTGTTTGTACTAATGTCTTCACACAGCATATCCGAGCTAGGTTTGGAGGCTACTTTCTGATCTGATGGTTCGCTGGTTGGGTTCAAAGACACACTCTCCGCCTCTCGCAAAGGTTGTGAATTAGCATTCTCTGACACCTGATCTGAGACATCTTTCGCCTTTGACGCATTATCGTCCTTCTCACTTTTAACCATTCCCTCGCTCTTGGTGACAGTCTGCGTCAGACCATCACTCACTGATGTTTCAGCGACTGACGTCTCCATCACTGATGGCGCTACTGACGTTCCATCTACCGCCACACCTCCATCAGTCCCTGATGTCGCCTCTCCCATGCTACCGCCTTCCTTTTGTGAAACCTCCAGCGTCATCTCTGTCGCGAGTTCCGTCGTCTCCGTCGCTTTCACGGCCCCCTCGCCGTCTTGTGGCGTCTTTTCTGACACAGTGGCGGTGGCGGCCGGCTGGGGAGCGTCGAATGGCGCCGCTGCTGTCTCTGTATTGACGGAGAACTGCTGTACGGTAGCCGCCGAGTCGGGCACGGTGTAACCAGAGTCGTCTGTGAAGACACGAGTCGGGTGATAGGTATTAGAACTCCGAGGACAAACGCTGCCTGTAGCCCTTCTTACAGGATCAGTGGCCATGCCATGATGGCTGTTTTTATTGAAATTTCAACAAAGCTCATATTTGATAGGTAGGTATCTGTAAAATTCGTAGAAAAGAGTAATAAGAACGTAGTTTGAGCATCGAACAATGTAAAAAAGCACTTATTCTCAGAGTCACTCATTCACTCATTCACTCACCTCAGTGAGTGAATATACTGAAAGCTTCCCAAGCACGTACGCGAAGCTTATCACGGTTTTAAGGTGAGTCTACAGCGGGCTCGTTATGTGCCATATATTCCCAGTTTCATCACTACACCCCTCCCTCATCCATTGGCCAATGATCTGACGGACTGACGGACTAACGGACTGACGGACCTGACGAACTGACTGGACTACAACCCCCCCCCCCCCCCCATCCACTGACCTGACGGATTGACGGACTAATGGACTAATGGACTAACGGACTGACTGACTACACCCCTCCCTCATCCACTGACCTGACGGGCTGGCGATATACTGGACGCTGCCGTCCTCTCCTGTCACCTGGATCAGTCGGATGACGCCGTCCGGACCGGCGGCGCCCTGGGGCACCTGGAGCACCACCTGCTGGCCGTCCTCCTGCTCCAGGATCAGCTCCTGGCCCGCGCTGCCCTCCGGTATCTGCGCGGGAGGAGGTGGGGGTGAGGACGTCACCGTAAAAAGGTATGACCGATAGGGAGCGTTTAGGAAGAATACGCCCATAACTACCAGAGCTGATTGGATCCTAAAATGCGTAAAAGCCTTCTATTTCTTTTTGTAGTTCGTAACTAGGTAAACAAACTGATTAGGAAAGTCGTTGACAGATAATTAGTAAAACAGAAACAAATAATAAGCTGGTAAAATTTCAGCTTAACAGTCACAAACATCCTGTAATCATCAAATTATCGGGCGAATTGAAATGTCCAACTCTAATGGTTGGCGTTACGCATTACGTAGGCGCACCAGCATCTTAAGTTGTCCCACTAGACATGTCCCAGTGTCTCCCTAGCAGAAGACACCGCTTTCTCACGTACCTGCAGCACCATTTCACCACCGCCGCCGGCCGCGTCCAGCACCATCTCCTGTTGGTGCTGTCCTCCATCCTGAATCACCAATTGTTGGTGCTGCTGCTCGGTTCTATCTTGTATCACCAGCTGCTGACCCTCACTACCATCTTGTATCACCAACTGTTGGTGCTGCTCGCCTCCCTGTATCACCAGTGGCTGTTCTCCGTCACCACCGTCCACCCGGAGCACCAGGCCGTCACCAGAGCCGCCGGGCAGCACCACGCGGTGGCTGGTGGCGTCACCAGAGGGCACCTGGAGCACCACCTCTCCACCGGCGCCGTCCTGCAGCACCAGCTGCTCGCCCTCGGCACCCTCCGGGACCTGGCGGCGAGGGAACGGGGGAGGGGCGGTCAATGCGCCGAGAAGACGTCCACTTCTTTGGGATGGCATTGCCTTGACTTTGTGGAAGGCTATAAATCTTATTTTTATGTCAGAAGTTTTTAAAATTGTACCCGAAGGCTTGAACTGGGCCATGGGCAGACTGCCAGAGGCTAGAGTCAGAGCCATAGCAATCTAAGCAGGGCTTGTTGCGCAGGCTCCGACTCCTGCCGTTCGATCGCCCAATTCCTGGCATATAACGGCAGAAGATACATGCCAAAGTTTAGCGTGTCCATCAAAGCCGGACATGGCCCATCCCACTCAACTGACTAACTGGCTGCGACTGCTCCCACCTACCGTAGACCATCCCTGTTAGGAGTGTCAAATGTCGAGCGCCGGAGCGACTCGACCCCTGGATATCATGGCCTACCGAGAATGCAATGTTCTACAAACTAAGCTACAGGACGGAAACTGTTAAGCTTGAGATGTTAGTGTTGGTGAGATGAGTTGCCGGACTTTCGTCAAGACGGGGACGATAGTCCGACAACTAACATCAGTGATACAAACAGCCCTCACCTGCAGCACGAGCTCCTCCTCCTCCGCATCTCCGTCTCCTCCGACAGTGAGCACTAGTCTCCCTCCCTCCTTCCTCAGGACGAGCTGACCGGTCTCCACCGCCTGCTGGGGCGGCGGCGGCGGGGGCGGGGGCGGCTGCCGAGGCGGCAGGGCCGGCAGACCCCCGCCGCTCCGGCCCAGGACGCGGGTCGGCGCCGCCTCCCGCCGAGCCACCTGGTGGCGAGGAAAAGAGTTACAGCGATATAAAATGAAAAACAATGACAGTTGAACAGCTATCAAATGCACAAACAAAGGCAGTACTGGGGTGTGAAGACACATAAAGGTTTATAGGTATATCCACTGGGTCAGCCATGCATCGAGTCTTATTCTACTCTCAGCCGAGTGCCATCCTCAGCTCAGAATATCACTAATCAGGGCTGAGGCACCAACAACAATACATGCAACTCTCTCACAACTATCTCACATTAAACACTCTCCCATCTCACACTCTCTCACCAGTCTCCCATTCTCCTCTCTCCCTCTCACCTGTGAGACATGAGGCGCGCGTCCTTTGACCATATACCGCACACCGCGCTGCTGCTGACCAGTGAGACCCGCCCGCGCCGCCGGCCGCTCCGTCTCGGCGGCCGGGGCGGGCGCGGCGTCCACAAAACAGCCCAGCGACGCGTCGTAACGCTGAGGGACCGGCCCTGACGAGAGACGGGGAGAAATGTGAGTGTGTGAACAGAGCTTACCATCCGATGTTTCTAAATGACATTCTAAGATTCATCCTAAGACACATGCTTCACAAAGCTAAAGCATAAGCAGTTGAACAGCATTAATTAATAATTCTCACCTCCACTGGAAGATCCTTGGCTGGCATTCCTTGGAACAAACACGGTCCTTGTGTTTCCTGCAGGATTCTTGTTGAAGATATTTCGTCTGCCTGACATGGTGGTTCACATCTGCCTCAGGTCTGCAGCTGCATTAAGCTGGGCTAAATGAATGCTTTAAGGAGGACCTGTAAGAAAAAAGTGAACTTTTACTACAAGAGGCTGGAGGCAGAAAGTTAAAATATTATAACTCAGAAAACAAGTATAATCTTATTGAGATCAGATGACTGGTTATTGAAGAGCAGCTCGGATGATTAAAATATCTTCAACTGTAGGAACTATTCCCAAAAAGGTCTAGCAGGTATGGACTATGGTGCTTTGTGGCAAATCTGAAAAATAAAATGTGAGCCTTGCCAGTAAAACATGAATGCCTGCTTCTGATTCCTATGGAATTACTGTAGAACCCAACCATTCCAGCAGCTTTGAAAAAAAAACTAGGATATTGCAAGTGCAGTAGACATTCGTAAGGAAATAGCCCCAGCTTCACCTCAACCTGTCAGCCGCATTAGACATAGCAGGAGTGTTATTCTTCACTCATAAGTCATAACCCATAAATCCATATATGGTTCAAGTGCGTTGTGAAGGCTTAAGCTCTCTTTTAAAGGGACCCTCCCACCTTCAAAAAAGTTAATGAATTGGCACGAAAGTGATGTCGCTCGGTTCAGAAAGAGCGAAAACGAATATCTACCAAATTTCATCGAAAAATATTCACCGATTTTCAAGATATTAGACTTTTACTTTTGTTTACTTTTTGGGATCTCCGCTTTTCCTAGCGACTTTATTTGAAAGTGCGGCATTTGTTGCGCGCAAAGCAGCATATACCACCGCGTGCTACCAAACGTTTTAGTAAAAGATTTAAAAATCGTTAGATCTCCGCTGACGTCACAAATTCTAAGGGGGCATACCAATGCACTAGCCCCTTAGAATCCGAAAACTGCAAGTTTGAAATTCCATATCCCCGAATTAAAGCATTTGTCGATGTTGTGAGTGCCCAAACCGGTATTTGCAGGCCATGGCCACCAATTTGGCTATCTCAACTCAAAACTAATGTTAAGGTGGGAGTGTCCCTTTAAGTCCAACTTTTCCCTTGGGAAAAATCACCAGTTTCCATTATGTTCTGCACTTATAAGTCACAACAGCTTTTACCAGTCACATGAAATAACTCCATTCAGCAAGCCTTGCTGATGTGATTATTTCGTGAGTGGCTCTGTTGACTTCCCAATGTGAAGCTTTTGAAAATAGATTCCAGCTGCCGGCAATTTCTTTAATATTGATATTGATGATGAAACTAGCCTCAGAGGCTCCGCACAGCATTGCTGAGTGCTGATTAGCGACAGTGTTAGGATTAGAAATGACCAGACACCAAAGGATGCAGTCAACTGTCAGAACTTTTTGGCCTTGGAATACATTCATTGACATCGGATGATAGGATACATAATAAAAGAGTTACAGTAGAAACATGAAAAAATCACAGCAAGGCCATAAGTGATGACAACAGCAAATAGATTTGTTGTTGCGGTATAGGACACGTAGCAGCTTGGCCTAAGCACCTTAACGTTCCTATGTGTGTGAAAAAAAAAATAATTTACCCCACCCACTACTCTCGTCAAACGACGCCGTTTAGCTGATCGTGTTCAGCAGCTAAATGCCAGAAAGAGATACGGAAAAATATCCGCCAGTTGCCTGGCATTTGTCATTCAAAGCCCAAGAAATGATAAGTTGCTAGGTAACCGTGAGTCGACATGAAATTTGGTGAACAGACTGCACTTTTGAAGTTTTTGTCGACGTTTCGGACGCTCAAAGGACGTTCAAGTAATGTTCGATTATCTGCGTGTTGTGCGAATGCAAAGACGCAGCCAAGACGCAGCTTATGAAGGAAACAAAATACCAAACAATAAACGAGCTATACCGAACACGATTAGTTCCTTTTTCAGAGCGCTGTTTAGTAGATTCATGCCCTGAATGTTTTGATTAAAATATTGGCTGAAACAGCGATAAAATATAGGAATTTGGATAAAATACTTTTAGAAGGATAAAAATCAAATAAACAGTGACTTAAAAAGGTACTTTTAAGGGTGTGTTGTCTCGAAGTGATGGGTTGGTGATGAGTGAGTTTTGGAAGTTTTGGACAAGATCAAGATTATCACTTTTCGGCCTACCTATTGTTGAAATTAAAGTGTTATGTGATGATGAAGTTCATAGTTACAACACCCATGTTTTGAATACTATTAATTCATTCTGTCCCAGCATGCAGTCTGTTACATTATTGTGACTATTTTATTTTCAGGCCTCGTACAACTACACCATGCCTCGTGTGTTCATTGGTCGGACACATGACCTCTACGGAAAGAGCCTTTGGGAGCTGCTGTGTAACCTGAAGGACTTTGGCGTCGGACGAGTGGTGAAGAGGACCAAGTTCAACCAGCGCTACCCGGAGCGGTCGTGGTACCGCATCATCAATGTCCAGCCAGAGATGGATGAGGTGAAATGGGGGAAGACCAAGGGGTGTCAATGTGTGCATGCGGTCTGCAGGTCTATGTGTCATGGGTCCATAGGGGCCAAGACATCTACCAGTGTGACAGACTGATGCTTAAGTATATAAATTGACAAGTGTTGCTGAGCGTATAGGAAGGCCTTAAATTAATTATTGTTCATTTGTTTTAAACTAAGACTAAAGCTAATGTTTAAAAATTGAGGTTTTTTGCCCGACGTTTCGCGTTTATTGCTTATTCATGGGCTAATGCTAAAACATAATTTCGTCGACATACATATCAAAAATTCAAATAACATCATTGACAGCACGCTTCACTATAAACATTGTCTTTCGCTAAAAGATATCGTATCCGTTCGATCGATCGATTGCGTTCCTTCGTATACATACGTCCATGCATCCGTTCATATCTATCGCATGTCTTTGATCTGGGATGCTATAATATCATGTAGTTTGAAGAAGCCTGGCGATACGTTTATCACTTTTTCTGTGGAAATGTAAGCGGCCTCTATCAGCCACCGACGTGTTTTCGTTAAACCTGTTAAACCTGTTTCATGGCGTTGAAATTCCCCGAGTCTCTACTGATCGAGTTACAGAAAAAAGCAAAACAGATCAGACACAGGCCCAGGACAGAGAGGGATGCACAAGACAAGAAAAGGGCATATTTTATTGCACCAAATAGTGAGACAACTGATCAAATAGCAAAGATGCTGGCGCCTGATCTGAGAGTAGTATCAGCTTCGGGAAAGAAGGTCGGGCAGATACTTGCTAGAAAAAAGCCAAAGGAAGTAGATTCAGACAGTATTGTGTACAAAATCCCTTGCAGCAAATGTGATAAATCGTATTTCGGAGAAACGGGGAGAGGTCTAAGAAAACGTATTCAAGAGCACAAAAATGACTTACGTAATCACAGAACATCCAAGGCATTAGTCATTCACGCAGATCAAGAAGGACATCTACCAAACTGGAACGAAGCACAGGCCATACACACAGGTTTAACGAAAACACGTCGGTGGCTGATAGAGGCCGCTTACATTTCCACAGAAAAAGTGATAAACGTATCGCCAGGCTTCTTCAAACTACATGATATTATAGCATCCCAGATCAAAGACATGCGATAGATATGAACGGATGCATGGACGTATGTATACGAAGGAACGCAATCGATCGATCGAACGGATACGATATCTTTTAGCGAAAGACAATGTTTATAGTGAAGCGTGCTGTCAATGATGTTATTTGAATTTTTGATATGTATGTCGACGAAATTATGTTTTAGCATTAGCCCATGAATAAGCAATAAACGCGAAACGTCGGGCAAAAAACCTCAATTTTTAAACATTAGCTTTAGTCTTAGTTTAAAACAAATGAACAATAATTAATTTAAGGCCTTCCTATACGCTCAGCAAGACTGATGCTTACCTACCTACTATTTGACAAACATCATGTCTTACCTGGTTCTCTTACCTGGTTGGGTTCCCATTTGTGTCGGAAAGAAAAGGCAAGGTGGAAGGACCGAAAGGAATTGGAAGGAACCCTGAATGCCAGACGCGCCAGCCCAGTTGTGATATTCTTGACCATTAGTCCTGGGAGTTTTGACTGGTATTGTGCGTCTTCCACAAGCTCGTCAGATGAACACAGTCACATTTCTACACGCTTAGCTACGAGGAAGTAACCTACATACCTATAACTACTTACAAAATCAGCACTGCTCATCCTCAATCATATCTGAACAGGCTATTACGTGCATGTACCTCAATCATTTTCTTAAAGCTAGCTATGTTAGGTGCACGGACAGCATCCTCAGGCAGTGAGTTCCAAACAGCAATGCATCTGACAGAGAAAAAGCGCTTTCTAGTGTCTGTGTGGGTGAGAGTGGGGAAAATCCTAAAGCAGTGGCCCCTAGTCCGCTCCTGTGGAGGGCGGTCGAACAGGTCATCTGGACTCAGGCACGATCTACCGTTAAACAGCTTCCAACATTGTATCAAGTCCGCACGAATGAGCCTCCCTTGGACAGAATACAGGTTCAAGGACTGTAGGCGATCTGCATAGCTTAATCCATTCATTCCATCCACTCGCTTTGTCCACTTCCTCTGAACATTTTCTAAGACCCGCAAGTCTTTCAGATAACCTGTATGCCACAAGCATGAACAGTATTCTATAACAGGTCGGATATGAGTAGTGAGCAAGAACAACATAAATGCGCGAGACCTGCAAACGGTAGATTTAAGAAAACTATGGGCCAGACCGCTAGCCTTGTGTGCAACAGTCCTAATGTGCTCGTGAAATTTAAGCTGCGAGTCGACAGTAACACCAAGATCAGAGTGAGAATCTACATGTGGGATTTGCTGTCCATCAAGGAAGTACACCGGTGAAGGCAAGTTAGCGCGGGGCCTCGCAAAGCGGAGAACTGCACATTTCTTTGGGTTCATTTTCAGACACCACGATGCTGCTGTGGTTTGCAGTGTATCAATGTCTTTTTGTACTTGGGCAGAGGATAACACTGGTGAGGTTCCTGGGGCATGTTTCACACAGGCATAAAGTTTCAGGTCATCTGCAAAAATTTTATATTCACTTCTCAGCTGTGATGCTACGCCGTCAATATAAACCAGGAACAACAGGGGCCCAAGGACAGAGCCCTGCGGTACACCACTGCTGACAACCCTAGGTTGGCTTATCATGTCCTTCACACACACCTGCATCTGTCTGCCCTGGAGAAATGAACGTATCCAGTCAATGAGAGCACCTGTCAAACCAATCGATCTCAGTTTGGTTATCATGAGATCGTGGCAGACGACATCGAACGCCTTACTGAAATCGAAGAGAATGACGTCAGTCACGCCACCAAGGTCCATGTTTTTAGACACTGTGTTATAAGCTAGGAGTAGCTAGTCCATTGTACTTCTGCCAGCCCTGAAACCGAATTGGTTTGAGGTCAGCAGTGAGTTCGTTTCCAGGTAATTTCGTATCTGCGTGCAAATCAGGCGTTCCATCGTTTTGCACACAACAGACGTCAGACTGATAGGTCTATAGTTTAGTGGATCAAACCGGGAGCCCTTCTTGAAAATAGGTATAACTAGGGATTTTTTCCAGCAAGAGGGTAGTCGTCCCTCTCTCTGTGATCTCGTGTATATAATCTGTAGAGGGTAGGCGAGGTCATCAGCACATTCCTTCAATACCTGTGGATGTATTCCATGTGGTTTATCATTGCGCCCCATGAGCTTTGCTTTCATGCTGTGGGGACAGCAGGATGTTAACTTATCTGTTTAGCAAATCAATAACTGAATAGTGAATGCATCGATTGACTATTATTGAATAATGGACCTATGAGCCATTCATGCCGATTCATGACATTTCCTTGCGCTGCCTCGTAGAAATTATACATGGCATCGGTGGTTCAGTGGTAGAATGCTCGCCTGCCACGCGGGCGGCCCGGGTTCGATTCCCGGCCGATGCATTTTCGGAAACTCCTGCCGAACCTGTCCCCGTCATAAGGTGACTGTCGACTGAGGTAGTTTTGCTCTTGGCCGGTACCTGCACCGATACGAATCCGTATTTATCAACCCTCTCTAAATCTGTCACGATTTTTCCCCGCAGGAGAACCGCTGCGGCTCTGTGACGGTGCGCCGGGTGTTCCGTGGTGTGGAGACGCCCAGGGACGTCACCCTGAGCCGCACCACGGCGCTGACCGACTACCAACTGGTGCCGCGCCATGAGGAGGCCCAGTTCTGTCAGCTGAGCCCCGAGAGAGTCACAGAGGCCGTCCGCACTCTGCCCGCCGCCCTGCCGAAACCGCCCCTGCTGCTGGTGAGGGAGATGGGAGCGAGAGGGAGACGAGATGGGAAGCAAGAGCGAGGGAACCTTGTCCCTAGTTCGTTGCGCGAAGACGGGTTTGTTTTTGTTTTTTGTTTTGTTGGGTTAGGCCCTTTCGGTCTGACAAGACCATTGCAGAGCCGGAAGGATGATAGGATTTAGGGGGAGACATTGGACTGGGCAGGCACCCTAGTGAGTCGCCGGGGCTGAGCCCGTCCAGAGGACAGGCCACCCAGCCCCAAGGCACTCACTGCACCCGGCTACGGGGTGTGCTCCCTCAGGAGCAGCGGTGCCGCTCCAAGGGAGCAGCCCGCATGAGATAAAGTTGCCTGTCCAGCCCGGAGTGGGGTTGCGGCGTGGAGGAGAAGGATTTCAGCATCCTGAGGATAGAAGCATGGAAAGGTGGAGAGACGAGACTGAGAGAGAGAGAGAAACGAGATGGGAAGCGAGCGAGGGAACCTTGTTCCTAGTTCGTTGCGCGAAGATGGGTTTGTTTTTGTTTTTTTGTTTTGTTGAGTTAGGCCCTTTCGGTCTGACAAGACCATTGCAGAGCCGGAAGGATGATAGGAATTAGGGGGAGACATTGGTCTGGGGAGACACCCTAGAGAGTCGCCGGGGCTGAGCCCGTCCGAATGGACAGGCCGACCAGCCCCCCCCCCCCCCCCCCCCAAGCACTCTCTGCACCCGGCTACGGGGTGCGCTCCCTCGGGAGCAGCGGTGCCGCTCCAAGGGAGCAGCCCGCATGAGATAAAGGTGCCTGTCCAGCCCGGAGTGGGGTTGCGGCGTGGAAGAGAAGGATTTCTGTATCCTGAGGATGGAAGCGATGGAACGGAGGAAATGGGAGGGAAAGGGAGATCGTTGGCTGTGTTGTGAAAACTTTTCATTATTGAAAGACAGATCATTTGATTAAATACTCGGCATTACGTGAAATGGCATGCATTGATTAAATACCTTTGTGCTCAGTGCTATCTTACCACAACAAAACTGACGTGTTTGTATTATGTAACGGTCGTTTTTTTTCTTTACAGGCGCTAGAACGGTTGGAGGATGCGAACGCCAGCGCGGAAATGCCTGCCGTCTACCGGAACCAGTGGAACTACAACGTCCAGGGTCGGACGGAGGGTGGCGCTGCGTCCTCCGGCAGCGCGGCATCGTAGCAGGACTGTGTCTTGTGACAGAATAGGACAGATGTTTGTGCATTCTGAGAAAAGTTCGAGTTTTTAGTGTGGATGAATTGTGTTCTACCGTGGTGAGACTGAAAGAAATGGAGTTGATTCTTGTCAGTGGGGTGCGAGTTTTGTGCCCCGTGAACGATTTTGTGCTCGTTTGTTAGACCCGCAGGACTTTTGCTAAGTGGAATGGGTAAATATAGCCAACAGAGACTATTGTACTGTAAGAGAAGACGACTTAATAATATCGATGTCTCCATCCAAAGTTATCACTGCACCTTCCTCTTTAGAGGATAGGTCAAAGGATAACGATAGGCCCAAGTTTCTGCGGTCCCTGTAGTGTCCTAGGTCCTGATGATGTCCCAGGCATAACACTCGTTTCATTGCTTCATAAAGGCACTGTCATAGCTTCTTGGGCGTCAATCAGCGGTAAACCGACATCTAAAGCGCTACGTGACGTCACACAGCTTATAATGAACTCAAAAGACTCATCCAAACACATGTATTAGACACTCACACATGCGGCACGCTCGCCCTCCCCTCTGTACAGTGCAGGTAGTAGATACAGTGTCTCGGCGATTGCACGTGCCTTAAAGGCCACCGATCGTTTCACATCGGGTGTCCAGCCACTCCTCAGCTGGATCCATAGCCTCTCAGATCAAATACCGGCGACGGATGAAAACTCGGCCTGATTTGAGCCCGCCCAATACTGCAGCGGTCCCGCCGGGACTCTGAATCCACAATAATGTAACGGGGAAAGTCGCAATCATTCGTCGGCACGTTATGCAGCGCGAATAATTTAAGCCTGTCAGCCCCCCTGACTTCTTACTACCGGTCCGAAAACGGATCCTCCGCGCGACCCTTCGACCTGGCAAGCTCATCACATGGCGCGGAACTTCAAAAACAGCTCACCATAACCACCAATCCCCCGTGCGCGATCGACACGGAAAAGTCCACCCGCGGCGGGATGCGAACCCACGCTCAGCTAGGCGCCACTATTCAGCACCGCTCTACGACTGCTGCCGCATCTTGTTGAGCGCAGAGCCGGCCTTGAACCACTCGATCTGCTGATTGTTCATCGAGTGCTGTAGCTGGATGGTGTCGGTGCTGCCGTCGGCGTGCTTCAGCACACACTCCACCGGCTGTCGGAGATCAATACACGTTAGTACAGGTCATCAGGGGTCAAGAAAGGTAAACAGAGGTCACCAGAGGTCAAAAGAAGCCAAAAGGGACCGCATGGACTCACCAAACCTTACCAAGGCTTTGATGTTACTAAAAATCAATGTGCGTCACCCAAAGTTGACATGAGGTCATCAAAAGTCACGCAGTGTCATTTAGGCCACCAACAACATTTAGAACTACCAGAGCTGGTAACACAAGGCAGCACGACGATGGCAATATGACGGCGGAGCGCAGAGTGAGGTTCTATCAGTACAGGGACCCGCAGTTGCTTCTGTACACACTAGTATTTCAGCGTATTCTTTGCCTGTGACACCGTTGGAGGCGAATTGGGAAATTATTGTGTGCTTATTAAAACCACCATCTGAAGGGCTTTAAAATGATGTGCTGCTCTCCTAATTCAGTGAACTTTTAATGGCTATATCAGCAAAACATTGTTTTCAGCGCTTTTTCCTGCCCCATTCCTTCTGAAACCTGGAACCGCTTATTCCATTTACTCCTGCCATCTGACGATGGTCGTGCTGACTACTAGTTCCGGCGCTAGTTACTGCTCCAGTTTTGCACCCGGCACAAACTCAGGCGGCACCGGGCCGTGGCTCGACCAGGGGAGGGTCGGACCGAGCCGACTGCCTGGGGCGCGGTTAGATCGGACGCCCTGCTGGGGAAGGGGACGGGAGTGAGGGGGAGGGGAGGAGGTGGTCACGTGGTCCGTCCAAGCTCGCAGACGGCCTGTCCTGCGCCCAGCCATGTTCCGTGATCCAAAATGGCACGAGAGCTGTGGAATGCCTGGAGGAGACGCTTCGAAAGCGAACTTCAGCAGCACTAATTTACCATATTCTGTGGAGATAAATGAATATTATCTTAATGCAGAAAAAAATGCATGCCCAAGCTGTATTGGCTGTATCTTTTTAAAAGTTGTAAATAGGATTATTCTTAGGGACAATTATAGGTTTCGTATACACAGTGAATTGTGTTACATTGAGCCGTTTCGCTGTTACGGTTACTAACTGAAGAGTTATCCTTTTTTCTCACAGGGAATGACAATACAATAACAATACGAATAAAACCAGACGTTTCGCACGAAAAAGTGGCTCCGTCAGTGGCAAGAAATAAGTAATTAGGCATACATGTTTTCTTTCGCTAAAATCGATGAAGTAGTTATCTTTATTTTTTAAATCTTTTTAGCAGTCTTTTAAGCGCATCATGGAAGCTTATAAACATTTGTGTATTTTATCGGCAACCCGGCTGGCCAGACCGAGACGGTGCCGCATATAGTTCTCATCGATGTTTAACCTATACACTTATTTTTCTCCAATATTGTCATTGTCCGTGAGAAAAACATACTCTTATGGACTGGTCTCAGTTCATGTAGAAATTGTTGCATATTCATCAACACAGATAAAATGAATATTAGCCCTCACCACACATATAAGTAGATGTAAGTTGACCGCGCCCCCTGTTTTTCACCAATAAATCGCGGCAAAGCGAAGGATTGCGACGATTCTTTGGTGCCCTGGAGTTAATCAATTTTACAACTTTCCAGAAAATTAAATAGCCCTTATTATTTGTCCATCTTCTCTGAGAATTTTAAATCTTTGAACCAAATTACCTTTAACCCTCGCCCGTAAACGGTGTTTTGCCACCTTCGCCCATGCAGGGGGGGGGGGGGGTGCGACCCCCCCTGGCGTTTGAAAATGGAGCGTCGTAGAGCTTAGCGGAAAAGACCAACGGATTGCTCTCAACGAGATCTCGCGATTGGTGGTATATTTTTTGGTCCTAGGTCAACATTTGACCTACTTATGACCGGTCAAAGGTCAAATTTTCGGAAAAATCTAACTTTTTCAGATTTCCGCGCCGATTGCGGCAAAACGGTAAGAGGTATCGACTTGAAACTTTCACTATCGTGATTCTTGATCAATTCTCTATCGTTTGGTGTGTATTTCGATGTCATAACTCTAAAAATGATGCGTTGGGAGCATCCAGTAACCTAGGATCTCAGCATTGACCGGGACATAAAAATAATTGGCTTTCTCTCGTCAGCGATGACCAGGACCCTCAAATCATCGGATTTCTCTCGTCACGAGCAGCTCGCTCTTTTTTATTTTTCAGCGAAGCTCTGGCTATTTTTATCAAGGGCCGAATGGCTGAGAGTTTCTACGCCCCTCCGCTACATGTAAGACGCTGAAAAGAAATGCCTAAGTGGGTGAGGGTTAAATATCGATTGGTTTTTAAGTGCCGAAGCCCGAAACACTTTAATTTACTTCGATAGCAGTTTTTTAAGACCAACGAGCTCAAATACTATAACTTCTTGAACAATGTAAGCACCACATAAAATGAATCGTAAGAGAAGCGGCTCAAGATTAAGGAGCTATGAGACACTTAATAAAAAACGGCATAGATTAGAAACTGCACCTAACTTGCACTGATTTTTAAACCTTTTCGTTGCAGACTGGTAGATTAAATTTTAGGATTGATTTCAGCTGATGCTCAAATGGAGCTATTCATTCGTTCATTCATGCGACCATCCAATTCCATTCATAAAAGAAGCCAGTGACAAAATTGTTCATTTTAGATAAGTGTGAAATACAAACTCAATAAAAGTTTAATGATACGGCAAATTTGACAGCTTTTATAATGAACAGACAAAAAACTTTAACAAATCAAAGTTGAGAGCCCCAAATAGGGGAGAGTGAGGTAAGATGAGCCAAGGGGCAAGTTTAGCCACCCCATGTTTCTCAGCTCCTATGGCGCTAATTGACTTGAGCTTCCATGTGCCGTTTGCTTACGATGTTCACGTCTTTCACGTCTTTCACGTGAGACGGCAACGTTCTCACGCTCAGCACCCGGTAACATGTGGTAACCCCTAATAACTAAGACATGTTTTGCCTTTAAAATGAGATGGTTGTTATCTGCGGTGCATGGTTATTTTCCTTAGCAGGTGTCAGCCATTAATCGAAAATGACCACGGGTGGGGTAAGATGAGCCATTTTCACCTGGGGTAAGATGAGCCGGATAAGCCATTGTTGTCTCCGCTGTCGAAAACCAAACTGAGCTGCGCTTGTTTCTGCTGAATAAAAATGGTAGGAAATTGTTTTTTCTTTGTTGATTACACAAGTTGTAAGTGATTTGCAGATTATCTGAAGGATAATATGATTTCTTCCTTGATAGAAAACTTGACGAGTTATTGGAAGGCTTTAAACAGTTACTTTTTGATGGAGGAAAAAACGTTGCCATAAGTATGTATGCCATGGAGTAAATAAAAGAGCCCACTCTTCGCCGCGCCCGGGAAAAGAAGAGGTTCGCTTTTTCTATCCATGCTCAACTTTCCCCACGACGTGTCTCAACTTACCCCGCCCATGGGGTAAGATGAGCAACGTGCAAGATGATTTTTGACGCAGCCTTTCAGTACAAAAATAAGCGGTATGAAACATTTCTGGCCACCATTACATGCGCAAATGACCAAAAGTCCGTCCAAAAGTCCGTCCAACCCGTAAACGCAGAAAAATGATCAGTAAGTTAGCCTGTAGCTTACGAAAAAAAACGGCTCAACTTACCTCATTCTCCCCTACGTGACACAATTGAGGGCATTTTTTTTTAGGCCATCACAGTATTTGTCAACAATTGTTGTTTAGGGGACTGGGGAGGGTGGTTACTGGCTCATTAACTGCCCCCGCCCCCCCCCCCCCAAAAAAAGGAAAGAAAACGAAACCGATCATCCGCGAAAAGAACTATTGAGCTCGAACCAAGGTGACGAATCGATTTATAGGTATGCAGGATGACTAACGATGCCACTTGTTGACTTCTTGTGTCAAATGAATTCCATCATCTGGATAGCACGTCAACTCTGTGGTATCACTATTTGACATTTTGCAACAAACGTATACTTTTTGGCGCGACTAGCCTCATAAATGTTCTGAAACTAAAACCGTTTCTTCGCAATTAACTTGGACGACGTCATCCCAGCTTATGCACGACCAAAAAAAGATATCGCTTCAGGATCACTGGCCCGAATTCCAATGCTTAAAGTTTACTCAAAG